CCGTGACCGATTGGTCGCAGCAGTTGCACCTCCAGCCTCGTCCTCGTCTAAGCCTCTCCAGGTCGTGTCTGGTGGCTGGTCTCCTCTGGGGATCGGGTCCAAGGTAAACAGCTTGCACCTTTCTCTGCGCGCGTCTCAACTGTGCGGCTTTCTTCCGTGCCTGCTTCAGGTCTCTGTGTTCCGTCGGCCTCCGATCGATGGCGTCCTTTGTGCATGCCGCAATGCGTGCTCTCACCAGGCGCGCCGTCGCTCCGACCCACTCGTAGCAACTCATCTGGTTCTCCGAGGTGGCGCGCTGTTTGGCTCCAGTTTCTGCCAGGCTGTCCGCTGCTTCGTTTCCTTCCCATGCTTCACGTGGAATGTCTTTCGCCTCCGCCTCCGATTCGGACAAGTGACTGTTCAGGTGGAACATCTGGATGATGTGCCGTCCTCCTCCTCTGGCCTCAATTGCCTTTTTCACGCGGTGCCAGAGGTCGCAGTTGGCTCCTGTTCTGTCCGTTTGCTCATCTTTCCTCGCGCTCCAGCCGGTGAGGGTGATCTCACTATCCGTCCAGAAAGTCAGGCTTCCGCTCGTCGGCTCCAGGCAGTTGATGAGAGACCACAGCTCTGCCCGGTTGTTTGACGGCCTTGGCCCAGGCAGTGGTCCGCACTTCGCCGCCTTGGTCGGGAAGTCTCTGGCGCCGCTCCTCGTGTCCAGCATTGCCCAGCTCCATCCGCATCGCCTGTGCCTCCTGTCGTTACTGTACTCTCCTCCGGAGCCGTCGCCGCTGACGATGAGCTGCTCGCCGTCTGGTGCGTGTAGCCTGCCGTCTTGGAGGCGCAACCCCATCGCCGTCTCCTGCTCCGTCGTGCTGCAGGGCGGTGGCACCGTCCAGGCTTTCGGCGTAAGCCCTCGGAGCCAGAATGCAGGCACCTCCTCCGCGCCCTCCTCGGCTCCGGCCACTAGCCCTGCTGTCTTCTCGATCTCCTCCGTGCACTTCCTCGCCGAGCACATGCCCCAGATGCGGTGGATGTCGTCCTCGCGCTGGCCGCGCTCGCACAGCTCGACCTCCGTGCTGAATTCCTGGATATATCATGCCTTCGTCCACGTGCCTGCGCATGCCGCCGCCAGCAGGGGCCCGTGGGCCTGGTGCTTGCCTCGCTTCCTGAGAGACTCCAGGTGCCTGATCATGTCCGCGCAGTCTACTCCGAGCTCCATGCCTCCTCCATTATGGTGGTCAGCTGCTTGGTTCCACAGCTGAGCCCGCATACTGTCCAGCAGCGCCTCGATGATGACCTCGGGGTCTCCATCTTCCTCGTCTTCTGGGAAGCGCCACTGGTTGCCGTCGGCATCGATCCAGAAGTCTGGGCCTCTCGAGTCCCAGCCAAGCTCTCAGAGCAGGAGGATGATGCTGCCCATCACGCCTCTCCTCTGCTGCCAGCGTCTCCTGGGTTCCGTCTGCCAGAGCCTGAAGTACACCTTGGGCCAGGCTCTCCGCGCTTGCTCCCTCAGGTCCTGGCTCGGAGCTGGCTACGCGTCATCGATATCGCAGCGTCCTCGCCCTCCAGCGCCAGGAAGGTGGTCAGGCAGCGTCCTGGCCAAGCTCGTCTCAGCGCCTGCGCGCACCGCCTCCTCGCCTGTCTGAGCGCCCATGGTGAGAGCCCGTGCGCGGCGACCCTGTGCACCAGCGAGGCTGTTGGCCCTTGGTGGGCCACGCCCCGTCTCCTTTTCAACTTCAGCTTCCTCAGCTTGCGGCCCACCGCGCCGAACCTCGCGTGCGCGCCCTTCGCCCTCTTCGCGTGCGTGAGCCTCTTAGTTGTGCCCTTCACCGCTCTATCAACTCCAAGGTCTCGCCCTTCCGCGACAGCTTTGACCTTGATCCCCTGCCAGTTTAGCCGAGCCTGGACTTCCAGCGCGGTGCCGAAGTTGGAGGTGAAGATGAGCGTCTTATCCGCTAGGTTGAGCCCATGCTGCGCCAGTCCCCACTTCAGCTTGCTCGTCGCCAGCGTGAGCTGCTCGGTGACCGCCTCCTTGCTGCCGACAATCTTGATGCTGATATCGTCAAACCAGGCCCTCGGCATGGGCCTGGACAGCGCCGAGGCCTCGTCGACCATGTGGCTGAGCACCGCGTACACTACAGTCTTGGCCACGTTGTTGGAGTGCCTCGAGCCCGCCAGGATCGATCTGTCCGCCAGCATCGGCTCCGAGTAGGAGCTCTTGCACCTCAGGATGCGCGCCCCCGAGTGCTGCAGCAGCAGCATGGTGAGGAGCCTTGGGCAGAAGTTCAGCTTGAGCGCCTCGGGGATGAGGGTGTCTATGCGCAGGCTGTCGTAGAACTTCTCAATGTCTGCGAGCGTGCAACCTTGGAAGATGCCGAGCGCGTCGCAGCGTTCGTCCGAAAGGATCCTTCTCAGAGCTTCTCGCTTGCAGCTGTTGCCTGCCACCGCCGCGTCCCACTCCCGCTCCTGCTGCTTTGCCCACGCTCTCACCGCAGGCCTGTGCAGCAGCTCCCAGCACCTCACCAGCTGCGGCAGCAGCGCGAGCGCGCGGTCGCCCTTGGCCAGCCTGGGGATTATCATGACCAGCGCGTTCAGGAGCTGCCAGGGCCACATCAGCTTCTGCTCGCACTCGCTGAACAGGGACACGATGGCCAGCCTGCCCTCCTTCGGTAGCCGACGGATGTCGCTGCAGCAGAGCTTGTCGACGCCCTGGCCCTTGTCGGGCTCGCCCGCGAGGGCAAGGTCCAGGTCTTCGACCGTCCACTGTGGCGCCTCCACGGCTGCCGCTCTCTGCCTGAGGTCGTCGAGCAGCTGCTTATGCTTGCCGTGGGCGACCTCCTCGCACTGCCAGATCTTCGCGAACGCATCTGCCTTGGCGTCCACGATGTCCAGCGGGCTGTCCGTCACGTCCGTCGGCGTCGCCAGCTCCTCCTCTCTCCTGCAGGGCGGCTTGGTGATCCTGTGGAGCGCTCCTGGCTGCTTCTCTGCGGCGGCTAGCCACTGCCCGAAGCCTCTCGCGCTTTCCCTCAGGTCGCGGTTCACCGCTGCCCTTCGCTCCTGCTCTCCCTGCTGCGCCATGCCGTCGACGATCTCCACGTCGAGGTCCTCCAGCGCTGCCAATCTTTGCCTCCAGATGCTGCGGTGCAGGAGGGCCGTTTCCGTGGCCGCTCTGCCTGCCTGGGGCATGCCGTCGTACGCCAGGGAGCGTCCAGCACGCGCGATCTCTCGCTGCTGGGCTAGTCCTCGGCCTCTCCTCTTCAACTTCGTCAGCGTCGAGAGCAAAACCTCAGCGCGGGCCCACCAGTCTGCGTCGTGCCCGTCGTACTTCATCCTCCTCTCGCCGTGCTCTCTGGTGTTGGTGACCTTCAGCTCGTAGGCCTTGCCTCTACCAGTGAAGTGGTGCCTATCCACTGGGTCGATGCGGTGCGCCATGCAGTAGAACCGCTCGCGCGTGCCGATGGTGTTCGCGAAGCGCTGCCCGAGCTCGCGCGCCGCCTCCTCGTCGACCTTGTAGGCCGCGGAGCTGCTGATGTAGTCTGGGGCTGCAACCTGCACGCTTGGCTCCGCGTCTTGGATGGCCTGCGCTGTTTCCCAGACGTGCCCCAGTGTGGTGGTGTCCACGCCTGCAGCTGCTTCTCGAATCCTCCTCGTCAGGTCGTCCACTGTGCTCTTCTCGGTTGGCTTGGGCGAGGTCCCCCGACTGTTCCGCTCGCTGTGTTCGCGGTTCTCATGGTCTCCGCGGGCTGCGCCCTCCCTCTCGCGGTCCGACTGGCGGGTCCCCAGGGAGAGGGGTCGCTCTGGTATTGACGAGGTCCTGGCTACCATGGTGTTGGTCGTCTGGCCCGCGTCATGCTCTCCGGGCTCGCCAGGGACCTCCGCCTCGAAGCCTTGTGTGAGCAACATTTCCTCCTCAACTCGGTCGTCCAGGTCCGCGAAGGGGTCGACTTCGTCATCTGACCAGCCAGCGATCCCGCCCATCCTTACAGAACCTGAGAGGCCATCCCCAGGATTTGCATCTGACTGATACTCCCCCATCCTTACCGCTCCTGGGATGCCATCCCCGCCGCAGGGTCCTACAGACCAGTTTTCCAGGAACAAGTGCTCGCAGGCCCCTTCGGCGACTCCTGGAAATCCTGGGAGGCCATCCCCAGGGCTCGGGCACGCCAAGGCGGGGAAACTGCGACCAGCCTCCTGCTGCTGGTGCCAGCGCCTCCCACCTCGCGTTGTCCAGCACCGCCTCGTAGTCTTGGGGCGGTGGGCGCTGCTCCTGCTCCTCTACCTCCTCAGTGCCTCCTCCTGCTGCTGCTGCTTTCGCCTGCGCTGCTGCCACCTCCTGCAACCTCCTCCTCGTCCTCTTGCTGCCTGGGTTGGGCGGCTTCTTCGGGCGGGGTGGGTGCGGGAAGGGCTGAGGCATAAGCAGCGAGCGGGTCCTTGTCTCCTGGGCCTCGGCGTAGAGCGTGAACTTCATCCCGATGTGCGGCCTCCACGGCACGTCGTAGACTGCTTCCGCGCCCTTGATCAGCTTCTGCCCCTGCTCGTTGACCAGCGCATAGTCGATCAGCGACTCCTTGTCCCCTAAGTTGCACGTGTAGGCGCCGTCGGGCAGTGAGATGATGGACGACGCTCCCATTGCATTGGGCCATCCCGAGTCCCACATCTCCTTCGGCTCCTTGTTGAAGTCGCCGCAGACTATCCACGCGCCGCTGAGCCCCTTCAGGAACGAGGAGAGTGCCGTCAGCTTACGGGCGTTGATGCCCTCGCGCAGCGGCTTCCCCACATCCAGGTAGAGGCTCACCACCGTGATCGTCGTCCCCTTCAAGTGCCACGTAACTGGTGTCCAGTCGCACAAGTCCAGGTCAGCCTTCCACCTCCCGTTGCTCACGTCGGTCGTCGCCTTCGTGACTGTGGTCGGCTTGGCCTGGCTTCGAAAACTTGAGGTCCGCAGGTGTCCCCTCATGACAACTGCCGTCCCTCCGAACGTGCCCTGCTCCGATCGAGAGCTGGGCCTCGCCGCCGTGAAGCACGCCTTGAACCCGAACTTCACAAGCTCGTACTCCGTGACGTCGAGACTGCTGGCGCCCACGTGCGTCTCCTGGAACGCGTAGGCGTCGTACCCGTGGCCCAGCTTCTGCTTGGCCATCCACAGCTTGGCTGTGGGCCCCCAGTTGGTGAGGTTCGCGCAGAAAAGGGTGCGCTCGCGAGGCTCGGCGGCGCCGCCTCCTTGGCGCCGAGCCCCGCGCGCCTTCCCTCAGGCTGAGGCTGCCCCCCCTGGGCCTCCTCCTCCTGCCTGCGCGCGCAGCTGCCTCAGGTGCTCCTCAGCGTCGCCCTCGGTGTTCGACTTGGCGCCGGTTGTGCTCGGCGCGGCCGCGGGCGGCGGCGCCACCTCAGGTGCCGTCTGCTGCTGCTGCGGTGGGACTTCTGCTTCCGCTGCGCCCCCACTGTCTGCCTTTCTCTCTTTCGCCGCCTGCTGCATCGTGGCCTGCTGCTCCGCTGCCTTCAGCTTCGCCGCCGCCAGGTGGTCCTTCAGCTGCGTAGTGGAAGTCTGGGCGCTTTCTTTCATCTGTGCCACCGCCGACTTTTTCACCTCCTCAACCTGCTGGCGGCCTTCCTCTTCCAGGTCGTTCGCTGACAGGTTGAGCTCGCGCTCGATGTCTGCCGTGAGTTGGCCTGCTGCCAGCTCTCCCACCTGGCCGCTGACGAGCTGCTCATGGACGCCTTTCGGCGGGTCTTTGCCTTCAGCCTGAATGGCCTCCAGCTCGCGCTCCGCCTTGAGCGCCGCCGTCGCCTTCTCGTCCAGCTTGGCTCTCGCCCCCCTTGCCACCTCATCTGCTTTCTTCGCCGTGAGCGCTGCTGAGTAGGCTGGGTTCGCCTCCTGCAGCGTCTTGGCCGCGATGCCGAGGCGCTGGGCCCTCGACTTGGGCAGAGGCTCTGGCACTGCCGCCTGGATCGCAGCCGCTGCTCCCTGCAGAGTGCGCGAGATCGCCTCGCCGTTGGACAGGTTCAAGTCGCCCAGGGAGTCGGTGAGCAGCTGAAGGGCCTGCGAAATCTTGTCCGCGCCCTTGGCCTTGCCCTTGGCCGCGCCCCCTGGCAGCAGTGCAAGGGCGCCGCCTCCGCCGCCTCCTGTGCCTCCGCCGTTGCCCCAGTCGTCCTTATTCGGCGGCTTGGGCTTGGGCAGCGAAGCGCGGCAGGTGCATTGGTAGTTCATCCCCTCGAGGCGCGAACACCACCACCACTCGCCGCACTTCTTGCACACGATGTACGCGTTGGCATTGCTGCTGGCCGCATTGGATGCACCGCCCTTCCCCATGGGCGCTGCGCTGCCGTGGTGCGCGTCCAGGCGCGCGGCGTCCTGCACTCGCCTCAGCCGCCGCCTCGCGTCAGCACGCAGGCGCCGCTCCCTGCGGTGCCAGGCGGGGGAGCGCGAGCGCGCTCGGCGCCCCTCCGTGGGGCTGGGGGCTATGGCTCCGCGGGCGCGCGAGGAGGAGGAGGAGGAGGAGGAGGAGGAGGAGGAGGAGGAGGAGGAGGAGGAGGAGGAGGACAAGAAAACCGTCTGGGGAGAGGCAGAAACATGCACACCGCCTGAGGCATCCTCACAAACTGATCCGAAAGCAGAGGGTGTTGGGCAGGCAAACGGGCAAACCGCCCGGACATCCCAAACTTATCTGGACGCGAATCTTGGGCTGTCCCCACACCTGGCGGCCCTCTTTGGAGTGCTGAAGCCAGCGCCCCGCCGGAGACAGCCCCCGCATCTGCTCCCAAAGCAGAGGGTGTTTGGCACGCAAGCAGGCCCACCGTCCTCCCCACAATAGGGGCGCGAATCATGGAGTGTCCTGACCCCTGGCGCCCCCCCCCTCCCCCCAAGAAGTGCTGAAATCAGCGCCTCGTCTGAGTCATCCTCAGGCTCTGCTGTGAAAGCAGAGGTGTTGGGCAGGCAAACAGGCAAACCGCCTGAGACATCCCCACAATCGGGGCGCGAATCCTGGCGCGCCCTCACCCCTGGCGCCCTCCTTGGGGCGCCCAAGTGCTACGCCTGCTTTACCGCGGTGAGCTTTGGACCGCCAAGATAGAAAAAGTCTGGGGGGCAGAAACAGGCAACCCTCTTGAGACAACCGCGCAATTTTCACTAAAGCATATGATGCTGGGCAGGAGCGTGCCGCTTGAAACATCACCAGAATCTGAGCGCGAATCCTGGAATGTCCTCACCCCTGGCGCCCCCCCCTCTAAGGGGTGCTGAAGCCAGCGACTCGCCTGAGACATCCTCAGCATCTGCTCCCGAAGCAGAGGATGCTGGGCACGCAGGCAAGCAAACCGCCTGAGACATCCCCACAATCTCGGCGCGAATCCCGGAACGTCCCCACCCTTGGCGCCCCCTCCTTGAGGGTGCCCATGGGCCACGCCTGCTATATCGCGGTCAGCATTGAACCACGGATGAATCTGATTGAGTCTGAGTCTGAGCATGAGAGAAGTACGGGGCAAAGCTAGTCTGAATGTGAGTGAGTCCGAAGGTGAGTGAGTTTAAGTGTAGCACCTCCTCTTAAGACGTGGGGCATTGGGAATGTTGGGAATCATTCTCAGGATACTGGGAATAGTTCAGGGTGTTGGGGAAAAAGACAAGCCCCTTCTCAGGATACTGGGAACAATTCAAAACACCCGTCGAGCCCAGCACCCTGAACCTGCCCCCTGCCCTGCCGGCCAGAACCGGTGCTGGGCCACCGCGCTCCCGGCCAAGCTCCAACCCGACTTTGGGAAGCCTGGAGCCATGCCTCACCCCCGGGCCTGCTCGACGTTCTGAGCGTTCCTGGCGCGCGTCTCTAGAACACTCGTGGCCGGAGAAGCGCGCCGCGTCGCCGACGCATCGGCGGCGGCGGGATGGAGAGGAGCTGGCTCCAGATCGCGCAGCACTGCCGATGTCGCCGAGGCGCGCGGCCCTTCGACCCCATTGACTCTGGCCCCATGTGGGCGACGAGAAGAAAGAGGTCTTACGCGAGATGGCACAGCGACCTGACGCTGCGGCCTACGCGGGCCGCTGGCGCGGCACGCTGCGCCGGAAGCGAGGGCGCCCAGGCGCGGCCTCCCGCGAGCAGCCTGCGCGGCAGTGGCGGCGCAGACGACCCCGCTTCCCTCGTCGCTCGCTTGTCGGGGGCATCCGGGGAAGAGGAGGGGAGCGCGGAAGGGGAGCCCCGGGCCTGCTCCACGTTGTGGGCGTTCTTGGCGCTCGTCTCCATGAACTGCACCCCGAGGGCGTCCGCGAGCTCCTGCCGGCGGGGCGGGCGCCCGAGGCATGCCGGCGAGGCGGGCGCTGGAGCAGCGGCGGAGCGGGGAGGGCCGAGACCAGGCGCTGCGAGGTGATCGCGGGCCGATGTCTTTTGACGTTCTGGGTCAGTGTTGGGCCTCCCGACGCCGCGCCTCCTCCGTTCCTCATCATTCTATGGCCTCCCAGATCACTTCCTTCCACTGTGTGAATACGATCCTAGTCTGGATCGCTTCAAAGACTTTGGCATCTTCACCACTTCCAAGAAGTGTTCTGTGACCTGTTCATCCTGCCGCTGCCGAGAACTCAACGCCCAGCAGGATATTGGTCAGTGTCGCTGCTGCTTGATGAAGACCAGCGGCCAGGTTTCTCTTAACACCACCCTGACCAGAGCGCAGCCCCAGGACAGGTCTCGGCCGGCGGTGGACTCCAGGGCCCTTGCCTTGGGTGGCCCCAGCCTGTGAGGGCAATGATCAGGGGGGGACTGGCATAAAGGGGGGGATGCTTCGACCTGGAATCGGCGATACATCGCCGATAGACCGGCGATAGGCCTCCGATCGTGAATCCGCACCTTCCTGGGCAGGTTGGGGCTACCTGGCCCCTACCGCCGATCAATGAGCCATTGGGGGTCGATGCATCCCCCCCGTTCCTGTCCCCCCTATCGTTGCCCCCGAGCCTGTTCCAGAGGCGCGGGTGGCCTCTGGAGCGGTGCGACTCGCTTGGGCCACCCAGCCACCCTGGGCCACAGGCCGAAGCCGGCTGCACGCAGCAGACTTCGTGCCCCCCCTCTCGTCGGGCCCGATCTCCGAGGTCGGGAACGCCAGAGGGAGCCCTGGGGTTTTTAAGGCCATCGACCGGTCTGTCACCACACGGTGTTTGGGAACCCCTGACGAACCCCACGGGCCGGAGGGAACACTGACCGGTGCTCTGGGTGTGGTGCTGCGCGCAGTGGGGGTCCCCCGTGCAAGATGGGGGGGCGTCCGGGTGGGGGTTCGCAGATCATGGCCCGAGGCATGTGCGCGGACGAGGGGGGGACCGTGGGCTCGACTACAGGAAACCTTCCACAGGAAACCCAACCCTGAGACCCCAGGACGTCCATCGCTCTTTGGTGTGGGAACGTCACGCGTTCCACGGCGGAACCATCGATATCCAAGAAATCCAGGGCACCCTGCAGGCAAGCAGGGTGTTTCTTGGCATGGGCTTCCACTGTAAGAGGAGGAGGAGGAGGCCATGAGATCTAGGAAGATATCACGGCCCCCGCCATGATCCCCCCCCTAGTTGGAGGCGGCGGGGGGGTCTGAACTGGATGTACGAGTACGTTGAAAAAATCGTCCTAGAAGGCGGGAGAAGGGCAAATCCGCTCAAAATCGGTCACTGGATCCTTCCCAAAGTCCATCTAGTGCAGTGTCTCGCGCTGGACCCGTTGTTGACGGTCCCGGGGCCCGAAAACGGCCCCAGGAGACAGAAAAAGGCAGAGAGCCTCCTCGAACCCAGAATCTCAAACCTCGCCCCCCCTTCCTGCTGGCCCGAACCAGTGCCGGGCCACACCAGACCCCCAGCCGACTCCAACTCCCTTGATCTTAGAAAGTCCACGGGTCGCCAGGGCCTGGTCTCCCACAAAACGATCGAAGCCATGCGGAAACCCTCCCAAAACCCTCCGAGAAGCCTCCTGGAACCCTTCGGGGACTGTTTTTGGAGGGCTTTCCACAAGCTTTCGGTCGTTTTGTTGGGGGCTCCAGTCCCTAGCAAGGGCGAACCCTGGTCATCACCCTTCAGCATGGGGGAGGCGGGTCCTGGGACATGGGTCCTAGACCCTGGGGATTACCAACTCTTTTTTGGACAGCCGAAATGGGTACCGAAAGAATGGGTACAATGCCCAACAACAAATGTTGTCCCAAACCAACAGCGGCCGCTGTTGGGCAGGCGGCCTTCTGTCTCGAATGGACACGGGCCGCGGCGACGCGGACAGCGAGCCCTGTTCATAAGGAACAAAAACTGCTGTTGGGCATCGTAGTCCTTCTTTCCGTGCCCATCTCGTTCGTGCAGACTCTTCCTCCGGAGTCCTTTTCTAACGGTGCCGGGGCCCGTGAAGGCCGCCGACGAGAGCCCGAAACCTGCGGAAGACCTCGGGGCCCTCGGGGGCGTCCGAGAGAGGGCGGCGTCCAAGCGGGGGGGCGTAAATCATGGCCTGCGGCACGTGCGCGGCCCAGGGACGTATTGTGATACGGAGAGGCGCAATTAAATCTGGGGGTGCGCTTGGCTGATGCGGGGAGAGATGGGCTCTCCTGGAACAACAATCAAATTCGGGCTGGGGTTCGAGCGAAGAACAAGTTGGAAGCTCGAGTTCGGAACCAATGAAAGCAAGAGCTCGAAACAAATTCAAAAAAGTCCAGGTAGAGACCGAAGCAAGCCCAAATGTTTTAACAGAGTTTGGAAACATATCGAAACACGTGGGGATCCATTCGAAATAAGCTTCAAACTTCGGACAAATGTTTGAAAACAGTGTGAAACAAGTTCGGCATCAGTGCGAAACTAATTTGGGAGTTTACGAACAATTCACATGCGCTCCAAATATTTGAAAGAGCGTGTTCTACCGCTGCTGGCGGAAAACCGCCGGGGGGTGTCACTGGGGGTTCCCGCTGTTTCCGCTGTTTGCGGCGGCCTGAGGGATCCGCTCCCTGAGCCGCAACCGAAGCGCCTCTGCGCCCGAGCCTAGCCGCGCGCGCGGCCGACACGCGGGCGCCCTCGGCGCCGGGGGGGGGGGGGGGCCGCCCAGGGGGAGAGGAAGGGGCCTCCAGGATCTCTCGGGGCAGAGGAAGAGCGGGAGGGCGAGGCCCCAGTGACGCTAAAGGCCAGGCACCAGTGGACCCCGCAAGGAGGGAGGGAGAGGGCCTGCGCGGGTCCCAAGAAGAGGGAGCGGGGCCCAATGGCCTGCATCTCGCCCTCTGGCCCGATGCGCTGCCGCCCAGGATAGCAGCCTGGCCAGCTGCGTCACCTGTCCTGGGCGGCAGCGCACAGGCCTTGGAGCGCGGTGGGCCAGGGCTCGCCTGGCGTGCCACCCCCTTTACCCCCACAAGCACAGGGCCCGAACCAGGAAGCCATAAATGGAAGATGAGGCGGCTGGGGATAATGGTGGTGGCACCAAATTATGCCCCTCGGGACCCCGACGACTCGGCCCCCTCAGGCGTCGTCGGCTGCGCTCTCGCCGAGCCTCGAGAGCCTCGCACTCTCAGTACTCGTCGATCTGGTGGTCCTGGGAGGACTTCTCGTCCACCTCACTGGGCCACGTCGGTGGTCCTTGGTCTTGTAGTAGAGCATGATTCTGTTGCCCTCGAGCTTGTGGTACTCGACTCAGTCATGCTGGTCGAAATTGTTGTTGACTCTGCTGTGCCCAACCCTGTGGCCCTCGTCCCAGTCACTAGTCATTCTGGTATGGCTTGACCCAGTAGCACTATCTGTTGTCCTCGACTCGGTAGTGCTGGCCCTCGCAATACGCTTTGCGACTGTGATGCCAAGCTTGTGGTGCTCGGGCCGTCGCTCTGATTGAAGCAGTGGCTGACTAGCTGGCCCTCGATCCTGTGGTACTCGGCACCGTCGTGCTGGTCGAAGTGGCAGTACTTGGCTCGGTATGATGAACCTTCTCCATCGCTCCATTCACTCCATTCAACTCGGCATCGCTGATCCAATGGTCGTTGGGCTCGGTCGCGCTGGTCGAGTGGAACTGTTTGACTGTGTGGGGCTCAGGCTCCTGGTGCTCGACTCAGCCGCTGAGGTACTTGTCGTGCTGGTTACAGGTCGTTGGGGATCGGCTTGTTGCTGGTAGGTGGAATGGGTTGTAGGCGCACTCAGGCCTCCATGCACCGACTTCAAGTGGGGTTCTTGGCGGCCCCACCTCGTCCCGCTATGGCTAGGGGTCACAGTGCCCTCGGTGGGGGCGAACCCCAGGCCCAGTGATTCTTCTGTTATCGATGAGGAAGGTCTCGGCTGCCCTATGCTTCGCACTTGGGCGCTCGGGAGCTCCATCTCCGCCATGGGAATGGTGGGGGTGGCGAGCTAGGGCGGACCGCGGGGGCGCAGGTAGTTGCGTCCTACCCCCCCCCCCCCCTGCCCCTCACCATCCCCCCTGGTAGGCGCGGGCAGTGCTCGTCCTGCCCCCCCACCCTTCGAGCCCGTCTCGAAGTTTGATCCTTGCCTCACCAGGGCAGCGTTGACTTGTACTTGGTGTAGTTGGCACGTCGTCTGGCTGGTACCTCTGAGCCCTGGCTGTGCGGCGGCCGTGTCCATCACTGCTGCGAAACGTGGCGACGCGTGCCTGGGGTGTTCCCTCGCATTCGGGGCTTCCCCAGGACTTGCGCCCTGACAACTGGTGCAAAACTTGGCGACGTAGCCTGAGGTGTTCCCTCGCACTCGGGGCTTCCTCAGGACTTGCGTCCTGGCCCTTTTGTACTTGTCGTCAGGGCTCTTCGTCGCGATCCGCGTCGTCAGCCTGTGCTCGATCAGCTCCCGTCGAGTTGGTGGCCCTGCCCATTGCCTTGTCGGGTCGGTCCTGTAGGGCCCACTCCCTCGCCTCCTCCAACCAGGTCGGGGCGCTCCCTCGCCTCGCTGGGCCACGGTGGTAGTCCTGGCCCATCTCCCTGGTCTTGTAGCGGCTGAGCGGCTGGAAGAAGTGGGCCACATCGTCGTCGATGTGCCATCCGTTGGCGTCGCTAGGCGATTCGCCAAAGCGCCACCTTATCTGCTTCGCCAATGCAGTCGCGATGGCCTGGCACAACCTGTTCGGGTACTCCTTGGCTGCCGCGGTGCGCCACTGGCCGTCGTCGTTGATGCCCGCCAGCTCCGCGTGGTAGGAGGCCGTGTGGAAGCACCTCCCGCCTCCAGGCAGTCTACTTATTTCCGATCGGAGAGTTGGGAGGGATACCGCCAGCAGGCTTGTGGAATTCCTCGAACGCGCTCCACAGGTGCACTGGTCGAAAGTGATCAGCTCGACTCCCTGCTGGCCCAGGAGGTGGCGCGTCTCGGGGATCCTCCAGGAGCTGGCGAAGTGCTCCTCGGTGGGCTCGCTCGGGTGCTCGAGCATGCCTGGGGCGTCAAGGTTGAGGCACATATACATGAGCTCCAGCTGTGTCCTGTATATGCGATTGCCTATCGCTACTTGTTCCATCCCTGGACGGGAAAGGTAGCGGAGGCCCCACAAGCTGTTGCTGCTCCTTAGGGGTCTTGGCGGGCGACCCCTGCAGTCATTGGGAGGCAGGTGGCGCGCGCGGCTCCAAGTCTCGCACGGCGGTCCGCCGATGACTCCTGCAATCCTTCCTGCTTGTGCCATGCCTCGCCACTTGTGGACTGCGACTTCTGATGTCAGGTCGCCGAAGGTCGGGTCGTTGGCAACGTCCAGGCTGAGCATGTGTATGTCGCATGGGGCCCGACTGCTTATACGGTCGAACCAATCCTGAACGTCTCCCTCTCGGCGACGACCGCTGAACAGATGCAGCGCGTATAGAGTCCGAGCTGGCCTGGGCATGGGTACAGCAGCTGGCGGCGGCGGTGGCTCCTCGATGAAGGGGAGCTCGAGGCTCTCGTAGTGGCCGCCATTGCTGTCGTCGCTGTCCTCGTCCGTATGTATTTCTGGAGGACGAGCAGGGACTGCAGGCTTCTCTGCCCAGTCGATGGGCCTGCCAGCCCTTCTGTTCGCCTGCTGCTGGTCGCGCACCACTTGCTGGTTGTGCTGCAGCTCGGCTTTGCTGAGGAGTGCTGGACGTGTTTTTCGCCAGTGTCGAGCGCATCTACGCACCCGCAGCAAGTGCTTGACCAGCCTGTTCGTGGTGTGGTAGTCCATGCCGCATCCGTAGCAGACCGAACCAGTTGCCCACGAGATAGGAAGCCCCGGCGAGGTGTGGTCCTTGGTGATGTGGGCTCGTAGCACTGCTGCGCTGAGTTCAGTACGTCCGCAGTGGTAGCAGAGGTACTTGCGCTGCTGCTCGAAGTGCTGGTCTGGGAAGGGCGAGGTGGCTTCCGTGTTTGTCCACCGCTGGAGTCGTAGCCGCCATCGAGCGTGGTGGTGGTGATCGTACTGGCGGGCTTTGCCGCGTTGGCAAGCTTCCTTGACTGCGCTGAGGTAGCTTTTGTAGTCGTTCCTGGCCCAGTCCTTCCAGTCTTCGAGCGTGTATGCTCCACCACGCTCGTCAGATCCTGTGTGGTCGCGGACCCAGTCTAAGTCGCGGTGGAGCAGAGCCACCCAGCCGCAACTCCCGTCCCATGCTTGGCTGAGTAGTCGGCGGAAGTGCAGGGGTCCCCAGTTGAGGCATCTACCGAATAGTCGTAGTCTCTCAAGACGTAGGACGATCTCGGGGGGCAGCTTGTCGACTCCTTCGAGGATCTGGGTGTTCGTGACCTCCTTCTTCTGTCGTACTTTCCAGGTGATCCTCTGTGCGGCAGCGTAGTTCACGATATACTGGTTGTTGAAATTCCTTGCCTGGCCTGCTGTGAGTTCAGGCCAGGTAGACGCATTGTATAGCAGCTGGGATAGCACCACACTGTCGGCTAGGTAGGCTTTGTCTTTGACGGCCAGCTCTGAGCGACGGTGGACTTCACGGTGTAGAGGCCGCGTGGATGTCGCCGCGGTGGCTACCTTCACTGCGACATCCACCCCAGGGGATGCATTGTCGGTTACGTAGGTCCCGAGGAGCTTGTGGTGGCTCTCCGCGAGAGGGACCTCGATCCTCGGCACTCCATTGGAATAGAAACTGGCCCGAGCTTGCCGGCTCCCAGGCCCACTGAAGTCGATCATCACCTTGGTCTTGGTGAGCTGCAGCTGGAGGCCGAAGGTGCTGGTGGCGCAGTAGACGGCTTCGCAGAACCCCGTGGCCTCGGACTGAATGTGATCGGGGCTGGTGAACACGTGCATGCCCGTGAGGTCGTCGACGAACGATAGGCCGTGAGGTTCGTGCTCCTGGAGTGGTCCGTCTGTAGGGTCGGTGTCGCATGCGAAGCTGCTCTCTAGGGGCTTGCCCTGGGCCCTTAGCCCTCGCTGCGTAAGGTAGCTGTCAATCATGCGGTGGACTCGGCCGAAGAGCAGATTGAAGTCCGCGTCGGCTAGGGGCACGCCAGGCCTCGTGCCCTTGTGCGGCGCCATGAAGTTCTGGGAGAACCTGTGCGATGTCCACCTGTTGCGATGCCCTTCTGCTATGAGGGCAGCCAGGTGGGAGCCGTCCAACACTGTGTCTAGTATCCCTGGGTTGGCCATGAGGTGCTCCAATTGTGGCTGGGCCCATCGGGGAACTTCTAGGTTATCTAGCACCTCCTTGACTTCGTCCTCCTCGCCTGGGATGCCGTGGACCAGCTGGACGACAACTGAGTAGAAGGCCTCCTTTAAGTCGTAGCAGCTGATCATGGAGCACTTCCCTTGGGCCTGGCTTCTCTCTGTGAAGAGGCGCGCTGCCAGGGCCGCCATGTCAGCCCCTCGCTTGGGCCGGCCGCCAACCTGGATGTCCTCCAGCGCTACGGCGAGGGTAGTGTTGAGCATGGCCCTTAGGTATTTATGGTGGTGCTTGCCCAGGACGTTGTTTAAGAGGATCTCGCGGTACGCTAGGAGGTATCGCGGGTCGCCTTTTCCTTTGGGGATGGCGACCAGATCCCCGCCCTTGAAGCTCAGCGGCTCCCGTACGGTGGTCGCCACCTTGGTGAAGAGGGGGTGCAGTAGCGCGGCTGCCTCTGTAGGAGCCGCCCTGAGGACGGCGTTCGTGAGTCCGTCAGGGCCTCCTTGCGCCCCAGCCTTGGCCGCGGCGAACTGGGCCTGGCAGACGGCCAGGGGCATCACCATGGAGAGATCCAGCGTGCCGTCGAAGGGCCTGGTCTTGCTGTCATGATTATACTTATTGGCGAGATCGTCCGCTGTCACGATCTTGCCTGCCTGTATCTTCGCGAAATGGTTGAGCTCCTGGTCCGCCATGTCCTGGGAATTGTGGATCACCTCTCCGTCCTTGTCGAGCCTCATCGGCTGTCCTGCAAGGAACTTCGCCTTCCTCCCGCCGTACCTTAATCGATCGCGATAGGCCTTCCACTGGGCCGCAGCGTCGTTCGCAGCAGAGGCGGAGGACGCAGTTGAGGCTAGCCGGCTGAGGAAGGCGCTGCGGTCCTTCTCGACGGCCGAGGCAACGAGCAGCCCAGACCTGGTGAGGAAGGAGAGGATGGCCATGGCGTAGACCATGGGCGAGATCGTCCAGTTCAGGAGGAGGTGCGCGTAGTCGTGGATGTCGTGGATGGTGCCATCGTCGTCGCCACGCTCTCTGCTCCACAGGGCCAGTGAGGCCCCGACCTCGCCTCCAAGAAGAGAGTGAGCGTGGGCTACTAGTCGTCCAGGTCGGTCGTCATGGGCTTCTCCTCTGAGCACTGCGCGATGGGCTCGAAGTGTGAGGCGCCTGGCTCGGATTAGGCCCATGGTAGTCTTGGTGGCGTAGGGCTTCCTCGCTGCCTTGACGGCCTTGCCGAAGGCCTGGATGGCCGCATTGTTGACGACTCTGGTGACCTCCTCGCAGTGGGTGTTGACGTCCACCTCCCAGGGGATGATCGGGGCCTGCTTGAGAATCTCCTTAAAGCTGGCCTTGGCGTCATCGTTGTTTAGGTTGGTCAGATCGGGCCGCGGTCCTGAGGCCTTGGTGTTCTTGCAGACAGCCCACTTGAGGGTGGCGAGTACTGGTATGTGGTCTTGTGCAGCTGTGCCTCGGTCAGGACCTGGCTCCGTGCTGCAGCTCGCAACGTACGGGGCGATGGAGGAGCTCAGCAGGACGTAGTCGATCCTGTGGCGCTGCCCCTTCGATCCGATATGCGTATACGAGTTGTTGCCTGGATCCTTCGTGGTGTTGATGACCTCCATGTCGGTGTCGGCTGCGAAGCTGATGATGTGCTTGCCATTGCCGTTGGTCGGTTCTGGGTATCCACTGGCGCCAACTCCCGGGGATTCATAGTCGCCGAGACGCCCGTTCAGGTCCCCCATGAAGGTGTCCACGTGGTACTTGGCAGACAGTCGCTTGGCAGACTCCCAGAGTTCTGTCTTCTCAGCCGCCTGGGAGTCTTCGTGGGGTGCGTACGCGGAGGCGATGACCATGTCTGTGCCTGCAACGCGGGTCTTGATGATCAAGAGCCTGTCGTGCTGGTGGGGGACGAGGGTGTCTTTGGCACTTAGGTACTTCGCTGTCCCACTCACGCTGATCGGCTGGGAGACGTTGAGCCAAATGTCGCCTCCTCTGTTCTGCTGCGTGTGGCCTGAGGAGTAGCAACCATATTTTCCAACGTTGCGGACGTCTCCTTCGCTCTGCGTCTCCTGGAGGGCCACCACGTGCAGGCCCATGTCAGCAAACTGCGCTGCTAGGTGCGTGACCTTGGAGATGCTCTGCTTGCGTTTGCTGGCCGCCTTGCCTTTGCCCGACTTGAAGCTGACGGCGGCTTTGAGTGATCTGCAGTTGTAGGTGCACAAATTCAGGCTGAGGTCGGCCTTGATGGTGGTGGTGCTGATGGGCCTCTGGATCGCACATGGGGCTGCCTGGGGCTGAGTGGCCCCGATAATGAAGGCTTGGTTCCGCATGGGTGGGTACGCGGCCTTGACCGCATCGGGCGCTGAGCGTAACCATTCCCAGGAACGGAACTTGTTGTGCGCGATCGCCTGCACTGGTGCAGTATTCGGGTCCATCAGGTCGCTGGCCGAAGCTTGATCTGCTATCCCATCTGCAAGCTCGTTCCAAGGGTGGCCAATGTGCGAGTTAATATGATGCCACTGAGTAGGTCGAGCTTGTTGGAGGAGGCCAGCAAGCGTGCGAATGGCGGCCCCCAGCTTCGGATGTACATGGCATTGGGCTTTGTCGCTGGCCAGGTTGATAACGTTGAGGGCGTCAGGCGTGATCTCGATGGGCGCGGCGGTGTCTTGACCAAGGGCCCACATTAGTGCCCAAAGCACTGCCGTGAGCTCAGCTGTGTATGCCGTCACCTTCTCGCTGTTTACCATGTCGTGTAGGGACTCGGTGGCCTTGCCAGCAATGAAACCCCGAAAGCCAAACGGGCCTCGTGAGTTTCGCCCATCGTCATACTCGTCGACAATAACAACTGCCCAGGCGGCTGTATGTGGGATGCCGTTGTAGCTGCCGTCCGTGTAGATGTGTGCGCGCCTAGTCGGCAGCTCACGTGATGGGCACATCTCCAGCGCCAGCCTTGCCATATTGTGGAGGGTCGTGGTGTCGACGTCGGCGCAGACATTGACGCGGCCTCGGCCTCGGAGGGTCTCGGCTACTGAGCCTTGGCTGAGAACTGGCAGCACTGCTGGTTGGCCTCTGTCTGGCGCTGCCGCGGTGGAGGGCTGCCATTGCCTTCGGCCGCGCCTGGCTCTCTCAGCCCTGACGTGCTCGGGGGAGTACTCGACGTCATCGTCTGGCACAGGCTCCGTGCCATGTAGCGGGGGACATGGCGTGCTGGTAATACGGGCTGGAGGTAGCTGTGATGGTGCGGAGTGGGTAGGCGGGGCTAGAGGTGGGGCCCCAGCCTGAGGCGCACTCCGCTTCACGGGTAGTGATGGTGGCAGTTGGCTCCCCTCACCGAAGTTCAAGTTATCCGATCCAGCCCGCGCGGCCTGACTGAACAGGGGATCGTGTGATTGGGCGCCATCCAGGGCGTCTGGGTGAGTAGTGGCACCCGTGCCGTGGTGGGAGCGAGCTGATGCCGAGGGGGGCGTTGGCTTCCACCTGCCTGGTCGTGGTGAGCTGTGTGGGTCCGTCGGGACTGAGGTCCCTGGTGGTGCTGGATCAGCTTGGATGTCGCTGGGCCTGGTTGGGCACCCCAACACGACATCGCTGGCGCGAGGGCACGGCTTCGACCACCCTCCCGTCGGAGGCATGCCCTCACGCCTACGCACCTGTAAGGGGGATTGGTCCTGCAGCTGCTCTACCCGGTGGGGGGCAGGTCCGCCCGTCGGCGGCCTTGCAGTGTGAGGCGACCCCGCGCTAGCGCGCCAGCTTGGGCAGGCCCTAGTAGGCACTGTGTGCTGCTCGGGCTCGGGTGGGTCTTCAGGTTGCTCAGTTGGTGGGTGTTGGGGCCTGGTGCCCTGGTCTGGCGTAAGGGTGTTGGTTGGGGCAGGATTGGCTTCTACATCGGGCAGTACTGTGGCCGTGGGTGGGATGCTGTCTGTGCTGCTGCTCGGTGGTGGCCGAGTCGTTGGTCTCCACTCTGTGCTACGACCAGTGCAGCTGCCGTTGGGGTCCTGCCTCGGGTGCCCTTGGACGAAGCCCCTAGCCTGGGAGCAAGGCATCGGCCACCCTCCCGACGGAGGCTTGCTGCCAGGCCTTCGCACCTGCAAGGGGGAACGCTCCCGCATCTGCTCGTCTCTGTGGGGAGCAGATCCGCTCGTCAGCGGCCTTGCAGTGTGAGGGGGCCCCGTGCATGCCCGCCAGATTGGGCTGCCTTCTTGACCACTGGGTGTCTGCTGGTCGCTGGCGCGGCTGGATCGGGTGTGGGCGCTGTGCTCCTGATCCACCACCAGGGCTCCGTACTTATTGTGAGTGCTGCTGTCGTCCCGACGACTGTGGCTCTCCGCAGCGCGCCGTGCACGGCGTGCTCGCCGCTGGGCTGATCGGGAGGCTGCAACTGCGCGCGCTTGCTTCCACTTCTCATAACATTGCTCCGTGCCATCCTCGGCCTCGCTGCCACTCGAGTTTTGTCCATCGAGAAAGGTCCTTTCCGCATTCTCGATCTCGTGGACTCGGATGGCGGAGGGGGGCGTCCTGTGTGCAAGGGCAGCCGGTAACGCATCCTTGCAGCCATCTTGGTGGCTTGTGACCTGACATGCTGACTGACTGGCGGATGCATTACTCCTCCCTGGTAGTGTGCCTCCTTGAATGCCGCCTAGCGCCCCTCGAGACGCGGCGGGCGGCCCTCGTGTCGGCCGTGGTGGTGTCACGTTGGCCCCTCGAGACCCAGGTGACTGATACCGCTGTTGTTGCTGGCTACTGCGATTGGGAGTGGCCCTCCCACTGCCAAGGCCAGTTGCGGTAACACCTCTGCTTGGAGTCGTGGCCCCTCGGGACCCTGGACTCCTGGGAGTATCTGCTCTGGTGTGTGAGACTGTCGCAGTCTCTGCTGCTCTATGTATTACTAGACGGCTGTCACAAATTACCCCAGGGCCCGCCGTGCTTTCAGGCCTCTGATGGTTGGTAGGTCGAGCATCGTAGTGGAGGACCCCACTGCCGTGCTGTAGCCCTTGGGCCCCAGCTGCTCTCCCCAATGCTGCGCAGTGTGAAACCAATTTGGGAGTTTACGAACAATTCACACGCGCTCCAAATAGTTGAAAGAGCGTGTTCTACCGCTGCTGGCGGAAAACCGCCGGGGGGTGTCACTGGGGGTTCCCAACCCGTCCCCCCCCCTCTCGAAAACCGGGGGGGGGTCACTACCAGTTCGAACCCCTACCCCCCCCAGTCCGTCATGAAAAGGGGGGGTTTCACTACCGGTTCGATCCCCCCCCCTCGAAAACCGGGGGGCGGTCACTACCAGCTCGAACCCCCCCCCCTCGCCGCTTGCAAACGATTCCCGCTCCTCGGGACAGTTGGACGATGGTGGGGATACTGGGACAGTGGTGGGAACGGTGGTGGTGGGGACAGTGGTGCGGGGACTGGACAGTGGGACTGTGGTGCGGACAGTGGTGGGGACGGTGGTGGTGGGGACAGTGGTGTGGGGACAGTGGGAATGTGGTGGGGACAGTGGGACAGTGGTGGGGACAGTGGTGAGGGCGGTGGCGAGGACGGCGGAGGGACAATGGGGTTCGAATAGGTAGTGACCCCCCCCCGGTTTTATGGAGCGGGAGGGAGGGTTCGAACCAGTAATCCCCCCTGGTTTTCCGGAGGAAGCGGGGGGGGGGGTCGAACCGGTAGTGACATCCCCTCGGTTTTCCGGAGGGGGGGGGGTTCGTGACCCCCCCCCGATTTTCTGGAGGGGGGGGGGGGGGGTCGTTAGGGGGGTGGGTTTCGCCGGGGAAAGGGGGGGGGTCCAGCAGGGAGGTGGGGGGGATTTTCGGAGGTGGGGGGGACCCCCGGGTTACGGAAGAAGAGGGGGGGGAATTTTCCACAGTAAAGCGGCGGTGGATCACGCTCTCTCAGATATTAGGAATTTAATTTCTTCACCGCCAAACTGCATCCAAACTTATTCCGCACTTCAGGATTCTAGCAAATTTGATCTCGAACTTTGTAAAAACATTGGCCTCGAACTTTTTACATACTTTGTGTTTTCAAAACGTAGGGACCGTTTGTGCCCCCTTAGCCAATTACAAATATGTGGAGATATCATGAATAGATCATGGCCCCCGCTGTATCCCACGCCCTAGTTAGTCATCGCCCCCCTCTTTGACGCCCCCGACACCCGTTTCGAGGCCTCTGGAATGGCGTCGGTAAAGATTGTGTCGGAGGATCGCGCCGCATTGCCGATACATCGGCGATGCATCGGCGATGCATCGATGATGCACCGGCGATATATCATCAACGTCGGCGATGCATCGGCGACGTCGACGTGAAGCAAATCGAGCCCCACATGGAGCCGCATGGCCGATGCATCGGCGATGCGGCGCGATCCTCCGACCCCATCTACTCGGATCCCGTCGGAAGGCCTAGATCTCGGCCGCCCACGAGACCCGTTTCCTGCAGGACCCGCTGCTTCAGGTCGGGCATGTCCCCCTACAGGCGGATCTCGGTAACCTCCAAGAAACACCATGGTTAAACCTGATACACATGTAGTCCCCATCCGATGTTTTACGATGTTTGGATACTTCGTTGCCCCCGTGGCGATCTTGGACGCCCCCGACGTTCGCAGGTGGCCGGAGCCGGGCTGCCGCCTCGGCGGGGGTGGCTGCCCCCCCCCCCCCCCCAGAGGTGGGGAGGAGCGACGCTGGCCGCGAAGCAAGTCTGGACTACGATTGCGCTCCCCTACGAGCCAACTCGGCCCGGCTTTGGGCCTTCGGCCATCGGCCAGACAAGGTCCGACTCAGAGGAGGAGGAGGAGGAGGATGAGGAGGAGGGGAAGCAGGAGGAGGAGGAGGAGGAGGAGGAGGAGGAGGGGGAGGGAGGGGAGGAGGAGGAGGAGCAGGAGGAGGAGGACGAGGAGGAGAAGGAGGAGGAGGAGGAGGAGGAACCTCCCAATGTGTTGAACAAATCTGTGCGAACGTTTGTCGTCGTCGTCGGCCTCTCGGGGGGCCTCGCCAGGCCCAGGGCCATCAAAGAACGACTCGGGATACCAAAAAAGAACCATCTCGGGGACCTGGTCGAAACCTCCAGGGACGCGGTACTTTGGAGGCCAGTCCACAAGAAACCTTCCACAAGCAATCCAACCCTTAGACCCCAGGAAGTCCATGGATTTTTGGTGTGGGAAGGTCACGCCCTCAATACCAGAATCATAGAAACCCAAGAAACCAGGGGCACAGTGGAGGCAAGCAGGGTGTTTTTTGGCATGGGTCTCCAATGCTTTCAAAACTTCAATACATCGGATTTCTGGGTAGGGTGGAAGATGGGGATGGGGATGGGGATCGGGATGGAGATGGGGATCGGGATGGGGATGATGATGCTGATGATGGTGATGATGAGCATGATGCAACATAATGATGATGCTGTTGATGCTGTTGATGCTGATGAGGACGATGCTGATGCTGATGATGATGAGGATGATGATGCTGCTGCTGATGATGATGCTAATGCTGATCATTGTCGTGATCATGATCACGATCAAGATGATGATGCTGACGATGATGATGCTGATGATAAGGATAATGATGATTGTGGTGGTGATACAGATGATTATGATGAAGATGACTAATATGATGATGGTGATGATGATGGTGCTGCTGATGATGCGTCTTATGATGCTGATGCTGATGTTGATGATGCTGATGACGATGATGCAGATGATGCAGATGATGCTGCTGCTGCTGCTGCTGATGATGATGATGATGATGATGATGATGATGATGATGATGCCGATGATAGGGATGGTGATGATGCTGCTGCGCTGCTGCTGCTGGAGGAGAAGGAGGAGGGGGAGGAGCCAGGCGTGTGTGTGAGTGTGGGGGGGGGGGGGCAGAAAAGGTTGAGGGGGAGGGGGGCAAGAGCGAGGACGAGGAGAAAGGTGATGCGGATGTCGAAGATGAGGACGAGGTGGCGGCAGTGCGGAGGAGGAGCAACATCAGCAGGAGGACGGGATGCCATTGAGAGAGGCAGCCGGAAGCGGAGGAGGCCGAGGCGACGGAGCTGCAATGACGAAACGCAGGGTTGGCAAATCCGACTTCGTGCTGCGCGCCGCTCCCCCTCTTGCTCTCTCTCTCTCTCTCTTCCATTCCCCGCCACGCACCCTTCTCCTCCCCCCCCCCTCTCCTCCTCCCCCCCATCCTCCTCCTCCTCTTCCTTCCGCTACCCCCTCCTCTCCCCCCTCTCCTCCTCCCCTCCCATCCTCCTCCTCCTCTTCCTTCCGCTCCTCCTTTCCTCCTCCTCCTCCTCCTCCTCCTTCTCCTCCTCCTCCTCCTCCTCCTCGTCCTGGCGAACAGGGGCGACCGACCTCGGTCTTATACATCGTGCCGGCTGTATTGCTGTTCTCAATGCGGGGCCCCCGGAAGTCCTCGCCCTATCCCCAGGTAGAGGAACAACAAGCATAATGACCATACTTTCTCGGAGGTCCGCGCGGATTCCTTTTATCTTCGCTGGAGCCCCCTCCCTAGCGAACGGAGCGTGCCAGGGGCGGCGCCGGAGGTGCCGCCAGGGGCACCGAAGCGCCGATCCAAGAAATCCGCGCGGAGCTCAGTAATTTTTGTTTCTGCTGTTTTGCCTTTTCGACCAGGGCCGCTTTTGCATCTGGGTACAATCGTTCGCGTTGAAGCTCCCAGGGCACCAAACGTTGGGAGGTCGAGGGGAAGGGCAAGGAGAGAGAAGCTCGCTATAGGCCTCCTATCTGGGGTCCGAGTAGATGGGGTCGGAGGATCTCGCCGCAACGGCGATGCATCGCGAATGAAATGGCGATGCATCGGCCATGCACTGGCGAGGTCGGCGAAGAATCGGCGACGTCGGCGTGGAGAAACTTGGGCCCCACATCGAGCCGCATCGCCGATGCAGCGGCGACGCGGCGCGACCCTCCGACCCCATCTGCTCGGACCCCCCCCTGGGAGGCCTCGAGCGATCGAGGGAGGCAGGGGAAGGAGAGAGAAGCCTGCTGCTCGCTCGCCCGGTAGCTGCCCCTCCGACCGAGCGCGCCCCCGCCGCGCACCCGCGGCGCCCGCGGCGCCCTCTTCCCGAGGCGCGCGCGCGCGGCAGCGCGCCGGGCGCCGCGCCACAGCCCCCCGCAGCAGGCCGCACCGCCCGCGCGCGGCGGCGCGCCCCCCGCGGCGGCCGCCTCGCGCAGCTCGGCGACCATCTCCGAGAGCTCTGGGTCGCCCTCCACGGCGCGGGCCTCCGCGGCCTGCGCGCGCAGCAGCGCCCGGCGCGCTCTGCACGCGGGCAGGCTCTGCTCCAGGGCCCGCGCGTACGCCTGCGAGCAGCGTTGGGCCGAGGCCTGCATCCCCACGGGCGCGACATGGGCCCCCAGGGGGCCAAGAAGGGCATGGGCAGCTCGCCTCGGGCTTCGAGGGGCCCATCCACGACTGGGGGGCGGGATGGGGCTGAGATGCAACGGCCAAGTGGGGATGGGATGGGAATGAAGGTGAACCTCCGCCTCCTCCTCCTCCTCCTCCTCCTCCTCCTC